GTCAAGAGTTGACAATGGGCTTGGGCTGATTCGTTCTGACTCGACCGAGTCAGAGTTCTGACTCGACCGAGTCAGAGTTCTGACTCGGACCGAGTCAATACTCGGAAAAAATCATTTTTCCACAAGGATTAGGGTTGCTATCTTATAAAAAGGGTATTGGACGCCGTCCTCAACCCAAGACAGAAGAAATTGTTGGTTGTGATGCTCTAGGATGATCCGTGATATGACACTTTGACTTAGTATTGATTCATTGGTTCATGAATCCATTACTCTTCCCGTTATATGATTGGCATGTTTGTTATATTTCGGTATCCTTGAATCATTAGAGAATGATTCTAAATACCCTAGTCAGTTATCATTGTGGGAACAATGTTGAATTAAGACTAGCATGAGGTGTGATCAATGCATTGGATGCATATCACAATCATGGGTACTCGTTGTGAACGAGTGACTGGTTGACCCACATGAGATTGTCACATGGACAGAGTCATGACTTGAATCTCATACAGCGGTTCGTTCTTGGATCCTCAGACCTGAGATGTCAAGAGTATCTAATATGAGGAGTGGCATGTCTTGACTGCGTCAAACGTCGTCTTTAACCGGATGATTATAACGGCATTGATCAGATACGTTCACGAATCATATGGAGATAATAGACATGCAATATGGGACTTGTCACCTCCTCAATAGGAGAGATATCGCTGGGCCCTCTCGTGGAAGTCGGACTATGAAAATGTGTGGTCACGCTATAGATGAAGTTGCATCTGTTTTATTAGTCAATTTGCAAAGACGAGAAAGCGGTTGAACTTGAAGGGTGGCTCAAACCATGCCCTTATTCAACATATGATATCGTGAGACAAAGGGTCAGAACTCGAGCTGTTACTGCCTCGGTTAGGTCACCTCTAACTCAATTCAACGTGGGTAGTCATGGCGTCTTGCTAGAGGCTAACCATGACTTGTAGATCTGGAATGGTTCTCGAGTCTGCTGCCACTTCGAATGGGCCTACAGGGTCACACACCATTAGAAATGGACTTATATGTGAAGTATCGGAAAGGAAGAGTTGGATTTTGTCGGAAAAACGGGTTTCGGATCAAATCAGAGTGTCGGTCGGAAAGGAAGACTTGGATTTGGTCGGAAAAATCGTTTTCGGATCAAATCAGAGTGTCGGGACGTTTTCAGCCTTCTGACTCGGACCGAGTCAGTACTTGACTCGGACCGAGTCAGTTCCATGCGAGTCGAAGCCCAGAAAGTATTTTGGGCTTGGCTGATGTTTTGACTCGGTCAAGTCAAGGTTTTGACTCGGACCGAGTCAATACTCAATGGGCCGAGTCAAGAGTTGACAATGGGCTTGGGCTGATTCGTTCTGACTCGACCGAGTCAGAGTTCTGAATCGGACTGAGTCAATACTCGGAAAAAGTCTCTTTTCACAAGGATTAGGGTTTTTAACTTATAAAGAGGTGTTGAACGCCGTCCTAAGTGGAGAACTCACTTTCAGAACCCTAAGACAGAGCAAAAACTCAGAAGAAATCGTTTCTTTCATAGTTTTAGCTCCTGGGATTAGATCCCACTTCATATACTTCACAGATCCTAGCAGATCGGTTCCAAAAGCCTTTGGAATCCTTTCCATCGGTGTGGATACGTGTAGAGGGACTGTAACTTCAGTCCTAGGTGATTAAACAGGCCCCGGATCGACTCCTACTTCCGTTTCTTCAGACAAGAGGTAAGTATTCGATTCCCACGGTGATATACACGATTATACGGGGTTTTACGGATGAGTTTGGTTGCGTGTGACGTTTGACTAGGTTTAGATTATCCTTCCGCTGTATGAAACCTAGTAAACCAAACCCTAGATCGATATGATCGCATGCTAGGAATCCCTAGTGAAACCCAACAGAAAAGAACCCTAAAACAGAGCAAAAACACAGAAGAAATCGTTTCTTTCATAGTTCTAGCTCCCAGGATTAGATCCCACTTCACATACTTAACAGATCCTAGCAGATCGGTTCCAAAAAGCGTTTGGAATCCTTCCCGTCGGTGTGGATACGTGTAGAGGGACTGTAACTTCAGTCTTAGGTGATTAAACAGGTCTCGGATCGACTCCTACTTCCGTTTCTTCAAGAAAGAGGTAAGTACTCGATTCTCACGGTGATATACACGATTATACGGGTTTTTACGGATGATTTTGGTTGCGTGTGACGTTTGACTAGGTTTAGATTATTCTTCCGCTGCATGAAACCTAGTAAACCAAACCCTAGATCGATATGATCGCATGCTAGAAATCCGTAGTTAAAACCCAACATTTTCTTCAAAAGTGTCGAGTCTCCTTCTCTCTCATCAAACTCCCCTTTTTATGCAAGTGCTCTAGCTAGGTTTCTCCTCAAAAATCGGGCTTTGCCTTTTTGGGCCGAATTTGATATCAGGCGGTCGCTCACTTTTTGTTCAGGGTCGCCCATTTTTTCTTTAGTGTCGCTCGTTTTCTTCAGGGTGAGCGACCGCTCATGTCTACGAGCGACCGCTCGTTCTTCTTTGCAACTCGAGGCGACTGGTTGGTGTAATGAGCGAGCCGCCTGGTCCCAAGATTTTGATGCTGAGCGACTGGCCGGCTAGATGGGCGGGCCGCTCATATTCTCTGAGTTCTCCGGGACTTCTCGATTCCGCTCCTTTCCCGTGCCTCATGCACAAATATCATCGTTCGATCATCCTGCAAAGAAAATGGAGGAAAGAATCATACCCATGACCGTCTAACGTCCTATTATGCCTAAAATATGAGAAAAATCAAAGTGTATGACGTTAGAAAAACTGGTGGAAAAACCATATGACACAGCACAGCTCCAATACCTACGCCAGAAGCATCACATTTAATCTCAAAAGCTTTGGAAAAATCTGGAAGAGATAAAAAAGGAGAGTCAGTAAGCTTCCCTTTCAAGAGTTGAAATGCTACTTCTTGTGCTTCCTTCCATTGAAATCCAACGTTTTTCTTGATGATTTCCGTCAATGGTGCAGCAATGGTGCTGAAATCTTTCACAAAACGTCGATAGAAGCTTGCAAGTCCATGGAAACTCCTTACATCACTCACCGTCTCCGGGGTTGGCCAATTCTTTATTGCTGCAACATTTTCTTCATCCATTTGAATTCCCTGCTCACTAACAACAAATCCTAGAAAAACTAGCTTGTTAGTGCAAAATGTGCATTTCTTGAGATTCGAGAATAGCTTTTCCTTCCTTAAAACTTCAAGGATAAATCTGAGATGTTCAACATGCTCCTCTATATTCTTGCTGTAAACTAAGATATCATCAAAGTAAAAAACCACAAATTTACCAATGAATTGCCTTAGAAAATGATTCGTCAATCTCATGAATGTACTGGATGCATTAGTCAAGCCAAAAGGCATAACTAACCATTCATACAAGCCATGTTTCGTTTTGAATGTTGTTTTCCATTCATCATCATCTTTCATTCGTATTGGATGATAACCACTTTTAAGATCTATCTTAGAAAAGACACGTGATCCATGCAATTCATCCAACATATCATCCAATCGAGGTATGGGATGGCGATACTTTACCGTAATATTGTTGATTGCATGACAATCAACACAAATATGCCACATACCGTCTTTCTTTGGAACTAGGATGACTGGAACAACACAAGGTGACATACTTTCACGAACATAACCTTTCTCCATTTGTCTTTCGAGCTCTTTAGTTTCCTCATGATTTGTTCGGTATGCAGTCTTGTTTGGAAGGCTAGCTCCAGGGACAAGGTTGATTTGATGTTTAATCCCTCGAATATGTGGTAATCCATGTGGAAGTTCTTCAGGAAAAGCATCGTCATACACCTGCAAGAGATCAAAAACCACAGTAGGCAAAGACGATGTTAGTTCGTTAATATTCAAAAGAGTCTCTTTGTACATAAGTACAATTATTGGCTATCAAGAAAGCAATGCTTTCTTGATCTCACTCGCTCTCATAAAAAAATTGGTATTTTTCCTTTCGGGTGTACTCTCACAAGTGTTTTTTTGGGTTTTTCTCAAGGCCTCACCAAATTTAGAGTGATCTACTTCATGGTCACACATGTTGATCGGTTTCTTCTCATTCTTCATCATTTTGAGTTGACCTTCAAAAACCTCCTTTGGTGTCAAAGGTACAAGTCGAATGGGTTTACCTTTGAACTCAAATGAATACTTATTGTTGTAGCCATCGTGTTGAGTTTTAGTATCAAGTTCCCATAGTCTACCAAGCAACAAGTGCTCCGCTTGCATAGGAACTACATCACAAAGCGCCTCATCTTTGTATTTGTCAATACAAAATGGCACACTCAATTGTCTATGCACCTTCGTTTCTCCGCGGTCATTGAGCCACTGTAAACGGTATGGTTTTGGGTGTCTTATTGTTTTCAACCCCAACTTCTCTACCAGCAATGTACTTGCTACATTTGTGCAGCTACCACTATCAATGATGATACTACACACTTTATCTTTGACAACCCCCCTTGTGTAGAAGATGTTTTGTCGTTGCACAGTCTCTTCTTCCTTTGCCTGCAAGTTTAGTGCTCTTCTAGCCACTAATAATTCTCCCTTTGCAGCAAACTGATCACCAACCTCATTCGTAGATGCATCAGAATCTGATTTAACTTCTTCCTCAGACTCCGTCTCAATCTCTCCATCATCACGTAGTGTCATTGCTCGCCTATTTGGGCATTCGTTCGCAAAGTGTCCTCTGCTGAAACACTTAAAACATCGAATATCTCTATTACGTGATTGAGAAGATTCAGAAATACCTTGTTTTCTTGGCTGAGACGTTTCAGGTTTGCTTTCGGATTTTGCTGTACCTTTTGAGCCAAACGTTGGCTTATCTTCTTTGTGAAATTGTGGCCGAGGGTTAGAAGAGTTGGAACCAAATCTTTGATGTGTTTTTCCTCTTCTTTTGATTTGGTTCCTGAACTTGATCGCAAAATGTAGCAAATCCTCCATCTCAACGTAATGTTGAGTCTCTACACGATCCTGGATCTCTTGATTCAATCCACCAATAAATCTTTCCATTGTCTCTTCACGATCTTCTTCAATGTTGGTCCGAATCATCAACATTTCCATCTCTTTGTAATATTCTTCAACACTTCTACTTCCTTGCACTAACCTTCGTAACTTTTGATGCACTTCTCGATTGTAATGATTGGGTACAAACCGCCTCTTCATGACAATTTTCATGTCACCCCAGGTGGTGGTAATGGGATTCTCACCATATCTCCTCCGTGAAAGAACCAATTGATCCCACCACATTAATATAGTCACTGAACTTTGTCACCACAATTTTAACTTTCTTCAACTCGGAATAATGATGGCAATCAAATACCATCTCAGTCTTTCTCTCCCATTCAAAATATGTTTCTGCATCGTTCCGACCATGAAATGTCGGAATTTCCATCTTGATGCTACTGAGATCAACATCAAGATGTCCTCGCGGACGATGTTCGCGCATTTGCCTTTGAGGATTCTCACGTACTTCTTATACTTCCGACAATTGTTCTCCCTCGTCACTAGGATCACTATGACGTGACCTAGCTCTCCTAGGAACACCTTGTTGTTGTCGGTGTCTTGCAGCATATGCCTCATTCTCCATCTAATCTACTCTTTGATGCAATGGTTCTATCTCAGCCCTCAACATCCTTCGTAGCTCACCCATTAGTTCTTACATTTAAAGTGGGTTTGCTCCTTCAGCTTGCTGCTCATTTGTGTGTCATCCATGTTGAAACTCTGCAAAAAATGTTAAGAAAAAAAAAAGAACAGAAAGAGACAAGAAAAAAAGAAGATGGCAGAAATCTCACCACACTCAGAAAGTGTTTCACTCAATTTTATTCAGTCCACCTCACTTGTTTTCTCTTCCAAAATCCTTGTTCAAACAATTAGCAAACTAAATCAAACTCAAATCGATAGCAATTCACCGAAAACTTATCAAACCAGTCTATCCAGGAGCAAACGAATTCCAACTCAAAAACGAGCAATGACTATGACTCAAAGTACTGAATTTGAGTTTCCGATGATGAATGCAAATGGAAACACGAAAATGAAGTTACAACTCCGACTCAAAAACTTGATCAAAAAGACTTTTTTTTAGAGATTTGTTGTGGTATTCCCAAACAACCAACTATTTTTTTGTATATATTTTTCTTTTCTTTTTTTTTTCTTTTCTTTTCTTTTTTTTGTCTTCTTTCTTTTTGTTGGTTTTCTGCAATGAACACAATGAAAACGTTAATTTATTTTTCAAAAGATATGAAGTACAAGTAAAATAAAAATAGAGAAAGATAACTCAAACTACAGAATCAAGATCTGATACCAAATGATACGGTCTCGTATCGAAATTCTCTAGAAAGGTGGTGGAAATAACCAAAACCTCTAATCAACTCGTGAAAGAAACCTAGGCCCAATTTCTTGAAACAAGAAATGTCCTAAACCCCTAAGCAAACCTGGATTAGAAACGTTGGTGTTGCGAAGACGCCATAAACGTTTATGGACTAACGTTTGATAAGTCAAAGATGAACGCCACAGATGAATCCAATAAGTTCAGAAAATAGTTCTCAAAGAACTTTGAAGAACAAACCTCTCAAATATATAAAAAAGATGATTGATCATTACAAATGAGTTTAGTTCACCTATTGATAGGAGAACCAAAAATAATACCAAAAGACATAAAAAGGTAGAATTAATGCTAGTCTTCCTAAAACTTTGAAATTATTGGAAAACAAAGCCATAATTGTGTTGGACTTTGAGTAGAATAAATTGTAAGCAACATTGAATGCTTGAATGCATATTCGTCATGGACTTGGACAACAATATTTTGGGCCTTTATTTTGGGCTTTCTTCACTTGATATCATGTTGCAAATGGGCTGGACTTGTGTATGACTTGGTCCAATGTTATTTTCCATGTGTTCATGGTCCAAACATTCAAGAAAGAGCCAATTTAGAGTAGTTTGTACCTTCTTCGTCTTTGATCTCGTCATTGGTCCATCCGGAAAAATGATGTGATCCTTGTTGCTCCCATTTTGTTCCGGTGTGCATCCAACATCCTCATCAACAAGTCTCCATATGAAGAAGAGGCTACAAATTTAGGCAAATTTCTACCTCAATGACGCATCATCAATCTGCAGCAACAAACAAGGAAGTTAGCCAAGATTTTGAGCCTCATCATCATCAGCAATAAGGAAATTTCGTGAGACATCATATGATATGGAAAATCAAAGTATTCTCTTGCCAAATCTATGCTAAGCCATTGGTGATTCAACAAAGGAGGCAATCTCGAAGTTTCCTTATCTTGAACTAGTCGTTTGCCATTTTGATTTCTTAACATTTTTCCTTGATGCTGATTTGTTATCTTTCCTTTTTGTAATTTCCTTTTTCTTCCTATATTAAGCACGACTTGTAAGCATTCTAGGGGACATCTGTTATGGAATAAAGTTGAGTTTCATCCTTGTTTTCTCTTGATTTGTCCGAGAATTATTTGCTTGGTGTGTCCGAGCCTCTCTCTTGGTGTGTCCGAGAGATTACTATCTGTTTCCCTTTTGTTTTTCTTATGCATTTTCAAACCCTAAACCGTAGAGTGAGTGTCCTAGGATCAAAACCTCAAGTTTGAGTCTCTATCTCAAAGAAAAATCCCAAAAAAAATCGCATCCATATCCATAGCTTTACTGAGAAACCCAAATCCGTCAAATTCCAACACCGAGGTGTGTATCACACAAGCTCGGTGTTGTTGTACGAGCTTGTGTGATACACACCTCGGTGTTGGAATTGTTGGGTTTCCTGGGATCTCATGAGCGAATCTAATTCCTAAGAGATCGATTCTAGGGTTTGTGCAGCGGAAGTAAAACAAAAATTTATAGAACCCTAGAACCATGCTGCTATTGAATTCGTAGAAACGTTAGAACGCTTACCTCAATCGATCCGGGGCCTGTATCAACTGAAGAAGTCGTTTGATCACGAAAGGCAGGAAGAATACCTCGCCCTCTACACGTATCCACACCTCGGGATGGATTCCAACGATTGGAACTTGTCTGCTAGGACCCGAATCTCTATTCGATATGTGCACCGAGAAATCTCGAGACTTAGAACTCGTTTTTGGATCTCCAAAAACCCTATCTTTTCTGCCAAAAGTCGGCTGCTCAAAGTCTCTCTCTAATTAGGGTTCTAATCTCTTTCTTATAAAGTGATTTAACCCTAATTTCGGTTTAATTTTCGGAAAACCGGAACCTGGAACGGACGGTCCAGAATTGCACGTGGACCGTCCGTTCCAGTAAGGCAGAACGGACGGTCTACGTTTAGTGCGGACCGTCCGTTCTATCCT